TGACCAAGCTGAGCAAGGAGCAGGCAGATTACATCGGCGTGCCGGTTGAGGGCCCCTTCAAGCCCGACACATACCGCTACTAGATTTGCCAAGCTGCAAGTGCTTGACAATTTGTCTCCGTCTTAATTCATTGTTCACAGTTCTGCGATGAGTGTGCTCCCCTGGCGGAATGTGCTGCCCGCGCGGATCCCAGGGAGTGCGGCGCTCATAACTTATGCCGAGCAACACGGCCGGACAGCACGGATGCAGGCGCATGCTCCAAAAGTCCGCGAGAATGCGGTGGTCAACGCCCATATCCAGCCCCTAACCTAGCACTTCTAGGTTGATTGGCCCTGAGTTACCAAAGGATTCGGATCGTACCTGCAAGGGGCTAGGGTCGGGGTAGGCGTATAATAATATAATGCCACATACATACACTAACACATGTGAGCAATAGTCCAAACTCTTGAAAGGAGGGCAATATAGGAGATTATATAGGGGAGTAGTATAGATGTTATTAAGGGTGGATGCTAGGAGTTTATATTATGGTTTAATTACATGTGAAATGGAGAGTTGTTCAGATGATGGCGATGGTCCCATTCCAGGTGCCCATTACAATGCCGTCCCTACGTGGAAGTTCTCATGAATGCGCAGGACCCACTATAGACCCCCGATATACCTGTCATAATCCTTGCCAACATAGGGACATCCCCAAAACAAGCCAATTCCCGCAAATGAGAATTATGGTATAGGTAGAGTGGTAGAGTTTATTATGCCAGTCTAGTCGACAGTGTAGTTGGCATACTGTTGGCATCCAATGATTTGTCCGTTCATTTCAACTCACGTCGTTCTGTCCGTAGCTGCAGCAGCCCCGTTTTAACTTTTCTGAGAACCCCCCATTTAGGCCTGTACATTAGTCAGGCAAAGAGGGGCTCTGACCCAACAGCTGGATCTCCAAGTGGAATCTACACGTGTATGTGATGAGAGACAGTATCCCATGGCTCCTGACGACCTTGGGGGTTCAAGTGTGATCACTGTCCTTCTTGCTGAACCTGGTTCTAACTGGGTACTGGTAGCCCTGCTTGCAATTACCCGTGAACAACAATATTCCATTTTGCCAGCTATGTTTGCCTTTCGCCTTGGGTATACTTATCCATGAACTTCCAAGTAGCCCGAGCTCAAGTTCATAGTAGGCAGCGATTCCAAGTATCCAGTTGAGTTGCATCATAGTTTGGAGGCATTTCTCAACCCCCTCTATTTCTCTAATTGTCAGACCCTAAGCCAGGGAGACCCCAAACGGATTCATGATTTCAAGACACCTCTTGCTTTGACACATTGGGCCAGGCAGCCGCACGCGAAGACCGGCGAAAGCACTGACACACTAACGACTACCGATGTCAAGGAGAGTCGCACAATATCCCTTGTATAGACCCATAGAATCCAAGAACGAATGACTTCCTTCCCCCCTGCAAATGACCCTGAACCCATGGAAATCCAGGCACAGGACCGTTGCAGACCCCTAATTCTTAGCTCCAAGCCTGTGCGGAGTTTGTCAAGCCGATAAGCAACAGTGAAATGCGGCACCTGCATCACCCGGACAATCCCTGAATATGGTAGTTTCCCAAATTACGTGGGGCCCAGGTATAGACCACTATGATTCTACTCTTTGTGATAGGGCCCCCCGCGGGAAACCCCCACATGGTAGTTTCTCCAAATGGGAGGGACTCCCCCCCCTGCATAGCCCAAAATATTAGAATCCTCATTGCGGGGACCCCCAATAAGGCACCCTTAATTTTTGGGAAACCGTTAAAAACCTCAAAAAATTATATATATATATATATCCCCTATATAACCCCTATAAAGCCCCTATAACCCCCTTTAAAGGTACCCTTAATGCTTTGGGAAGCTACTAAAAATCCTAAACCCTATATATCCCCTATATAACCCCTATATAGCCCTTATACCCCGCTTTAAAAGGTACCCCTAATTCTTTGGGAAGCCCCCATATCTCTTAGATCATCAAAGCGAGCTCCAGTTTCAGAGATGTCAAGACATCACAGAAACGGCCGCCTAAAAGTTTAGGGGTTTAGGGTTTGGGGGTTCAGGTTTAGAGATTTAGGGTTTAGGGTTTAGGGTTTAGAGATTTAGGGGTTTAGGGTTTAGGGGTTTAAGAGATTTAGGGGTTTAAGGGTTTTAGGGTTTCAGGGTTTAAGGGTCTAGGGTCTAGGGTCTAGGGTCTAGGGTTCAGGGTCTCGTTAGGGATTCCAAGTCCTTTGGGGTTGGGTATCAAGGGTTCCTGGGTTGTACCCCCGATGTCATGCCCTTAAAAGGTTTTCCCAATATGGCCCCAATATGTGCCTTACCAAGCCTGACATTAACCAATTTTGTCCTGTAGGATTCGTTACAAGGATCCTTAAACTTCGGGGTACAACTTTTGGGGTAGAATCCGGATACGCTTGAGGGTTTAGCCCAACGCAGCACAACAACTAGTGGAGCAGTGTGGTACGGATCCCAGCAGCCATAACAATAACATTTATAGTCTAGACTTCTTAAAGGGGGGATATAAAAGGGATTATGTAGGAGGACTAAAATGCGTTAATGGGGATACTCGGAGTTTAGAGCTCATATGGTGACAGCTCAGATGTCATTTTTCACAAGTACTCGTATGAACGGCTGTCAAACTGGTAGTCTGTTTTGGGGTGCCCTATATATTCGGGGCCGTAGTAGCCCAAAAAGGACCGTCAAATTACAGCCCTTCATTCAGAATCCTTCAGAGAGATCCACGTGGTTGCCCAATTCTTCCCGCATATGGGGGATTTTCTATAATAAGGTGTACTTTTGGGGGGTTTCCCACAATGAGGATTGTAGTATATTGGGGTCTATAGTGGGATCCCCTTGTTGTGGGAGACTACCATACCCCTAGGCCTAGGACTGTTAAGAGATGTTAAGAGTATACCTCTGATTTTCAGAACCCCCCCCAATTACAGATTTGCGTGGACCCCATGGCCTACCGCAGAAAACCCAATATCTTGCTTTAGTTATGGGAAATATCTTGAATGATATTAGGACACCTAATCGGTTCAGTTTTAAGGTATACTCCTTAATTATTGAATATTGTGATTGATTACCTGCTATTTTACCTTTACTACTACAACTCACTCCTATACTACTTACTATTTCCTATTGTGCTATTACAACGCGTTACTGTCCTGCTTGCTTTGGCTACTACTACTACTACTACTACTACTACTACTACTACTAGCCGCCCCCCCCCCCTTAGGGCCTACACTTTACTTAAAATGGAATATAAATTCCC